AAAGACTTAAATAATTGTGGTCAATATATTTCGTTAAAAACCATTTAAAATTTGTTTTATCAGATTATATTTCATATAAGCGAGCGATCTTTTCCTTTAAAACAATATTTTTTGAAAGTGGTCAGGTCTTTAAACCTAAGCAAGGAAATAAAACAAAATGGGACATAGGTTTACAGGGGATTAAAAATGGATTTGGGTGTTAGTAAAAAATATTCATGTTTTGATTATCCACCAGTGAAGTTTTGAAGGGTTGTTTGAAATTTTAAGTTCCCTATGGAAAAACTTAAAAAAGGGAAACAGAATAGATATATTTTTTTAAATTTTTAATTTTTACATTACAAATTCTTATTTTTGTTATGAATTTTAAATCTTTAAAAATAGCCCAATTATATCCCATTTTATAATATAAAAATATAAAAATTTAACTATAAGACATTTTCCCTGTAAAACCCTGCATTTTTGGGAAGTTACATTGGGGGGCATCTCAGAAAAACCCTTTTTTGGGGGAACAACCATGCAACTAGTTTAGCCCCCTTGTATCGGGATAGCTATCAGAGGGAAATGGGTTTGGGTTTTCTTTTTCTTTTTTTGGTATTACTTTTAATTTTCCTTTGGGAATTTCCCTTAAAATAAGAAAAAAGATTCGGGGTTAAAAGGCCCATAATTTAAAAGTGAGATGGGCCAAAAAATTTACAAACCCACTATGAAAAAGCAATTAAAAATTTTAACATCGATACTATTTTTGAAAAAGATTTTTTTTTCCCCTTCTTTTTCAAAAATTAAATTTAAATTTGGGAAATAAATTTTAAGTTTTGTAAGATATAATAAATTGCTCTACTTTAAATGATTTTTACATACCCCTTTTAAATTTTAACCCCATATAAACCCTTTTTGCGGGGGGGAACAACCCTTACACAACTTTTGCGTTTCGTACTAAAATCCATTTTTTTTTAAAAAAGGGGGAAAAAGGGAGGGGTTTTGCCTCGGTTAATGTGTTGCCCCTCAACCTTAAGGGACTTGGGTTCAATCCAAACTCGAGCCATTCCATGTTTTTTTTCATATGACACCAGTACGGGTTTTGGGTTTTAAAGGGGGGTTTTGATTAAAAAAAAAACCCTTTTTGGCAAAAAATTGGGTTTGGGCAAAGGGTTTCCAAAAGGGGAATTTTATTAAATATCGGGATACTTGAAGAGAATTTTTATTCAGAGCACCATATGAGAGAAATTATTCAATGGCTTTCATCAATAAGTTCCAGTAGTTTCCCTGTAATAGTTCTAGGAGCATCATGTACATCCATGGGAATGCCGGATGTCAGGCTTTAGTAATTTTACCAAATCTTGAAATTCTTTAATGCATGTTTTGTCCTAAACGTAAGCCGTACATTTCCCAACAAGCATCCAACATCATTTTGAATCTACAATCTTTCCATAATTGGTGTCCGCCAAACAATTCCGGAACGAAGTACATTAAATCGGGTTTTTCCATTTGGTACCTCAGAATTTCTCCTGTTTATGTATGGAATTAAGTTCCAATTAACGGCTATTCTGGTCAAGCTCGGTCTGGGAATCAAGTGCATAAAAGAGAATTTCAAGAATTCAACATGTAAAGGATTTAATTTCATCATACTCTTGGATTGGGTCTTTTAAATTCTTTGAAAAGGAAATCCCACGCATTAGAATTCCTTGGCGTCTCATAGGTTTTCCCCAATCAGGCCTTCTATTCGTTTGATTTGAAACGCTTTTTCCGGTTATTATAAAACTTCTAAGTCCCGATATACTATCTGGTATCATTGGTAGCCGGAAGAACGGGGTTGGGAGCAAAGACAGAGTTGAATTTTCCGTTCCCGTTATCACAACGAAGAATTCGGGGAACAACCCGAAGCGTCTTCAGCGCTTCAAGATAATACATGCGATCGACTGCAGGGGTTGTTGTTACTTTGTGACACTTCTAGCCAAAGTTAATCCTTCTACTGTAACCATCAATAGCACCGGTGTTATACAAAAGGGCCATAAATGGTTTCAGTTTATCGTAACCGTCTACGTGCCATAACATAATTTGGCCCCTTTAAATTCTGTACTTGCGTTCTTTTTTCTTTTAATTCTGTGGGCTTGGCGCCGAAAATTAATTCCGTCGGATCAATAGTTTTCATAAATTTGAAAGAACTTTTTATTTCTAGGGGAAGCTCTTAATTTATGTTGTCATGTGGTCAACGTTTTTTCACATCGAACGGGATAACCAATGCATCTGACCTCTTGTCTCAAATTTCCTTGGAAATATAATAAGAACAATGTGAGTCTGGTGTGTATCCAGTTCGACCCGTGCGTAAGTTGTTACATTTAAGTTACTCTATTAAGCTGTTGGCAACGGGATATTTTTAATGTTATTTATAAACAAACAACAAAAGAATAATTTCCGAATATGAAAACCCACAGTAAAAGTAGTGTTTCAACTAATTCAAGTCGTGTACTCTCCTGCTGTAAGATGTGTCTGGTATGTTTTGAAGGTGTCACTCCCCGATACAAAGTTAACCTGTTGTATCCAAAGACAAAAACCCAAAAACCCATGGAACGCAACATATTTTACATGGGGAAAATCTGGAAAACAGAGTAAAGTATACATATAAGCCCCTTATTCTACTTTTAAGATGTCAGACAAAAAATTTTAATTTTAAAAACACTTTCCCGTAAAAAAATGTCAATGGCATTTAAATTTTTCAAACATCATGTTTTTAGTGTTTTTAGGGGGTTTTTTTTTTTTTTTTGAAAAACATTAAAAGTTTGGGGTTAAGGAGGAAAAAAAATTAAACAAAACGGAGTTTTATTTAAGGCCTTTAAAATTTTTTACAACAATCACGGAAAACCCTAGGGCTCGCCAACAAAACCTCCGGGGCTGGGTTGGGTATAAGCGGGGGGGGGTTGATAAGTAAGGGCTTTTGGGGTGCCCTTAAAACAAATTGCACCTAAAACAAGTAATGAAAATTTAAAATTAAAAAAAAAGTTTTAAAAAGGGGGATAACTCAATAGAGTCAAACCCAAAAAAATAAGAGTTTCAAGTTGTTATGGCCCCCGCCTTAAAAGTTTTGGAAAAGAACGGAAAAATGAAACAGATGCATGGAGAAATTGCAATAGTTTTTAAGTTAATCCTATATACTAAAAATTTTCAAAGTCCAAAAAACAAAATTTAAATTTTTGTAAATCTTTTTAAAAATTTAAATCTTTCCAAAACCCGTCCCTTTTTTGTTACTTTTTGGGGTTTTCTTTTCTGGGAAATCTTTCAATTTTTTATTTAAAAAATATCATTGGCCCCCATTTTTCCTTTTTACTTTTTTCTAAAAAATCATAAATCAATTTCTTGGGATTTTCCTTTGTAAAGAGAGTGTACAGGTAGAGCAGATGGGAATGTCCAATATGTTTACCATCAATGGATCTCCATAAAGTTAATCTTAGGTTCAATGGGTTTTCATGGGTCTTTTTTCTTTCTTAGTGGCCTGCTATGTTTCTGAAGGTCTAGTGGGCATGAATACGTTTACTAACTCGCATTTGTTTACTACTTCGCATTTTACCTGAAAGGAGAAATTTAATTTTATATTTTATACAAAAAATAAAGTTTCACACATGTTTTAAAAATGTGTCAGTCTTGTAAATATTTTGATACTTAAAACTTTAACAGTTAATACGATGTTTTTGGGCCCTGTGACCTAAATTTTTTCATTCTGTTGATGGCCCATTATATCCCGAAACCTAACCTTGTATGGGAGAATAATTATTAAAAAGTTTGGAGAAATTACAGTACTTGTCAGTTCATATTTTTAAATTTTTAAAACTTTTCCAAATCGTTTTTTTCTTTCATTTCAGGGTTTTCCCCCAAAGGGGCCCTAAAGGGGGATTGGGTGAAAAATTTTCCCCCCTTTTTCCCTTTTTTTTTCAAGGGCATAATACATTAAAAACAAATCCAAAAATACATAAGGGCATTAAACTGGGTTGGGGGCCACCAAAACCCGGGCAAAACCCCCAAACCCCGGGCGGCCCCCAAAATGCTCAAATTTTAGTTTTTTTTTTTTTTCATTTTGTTGTCGGTCACTTTTTTATCAACAATAAATGGGATGTTTCTTCTAAAAATTTAAATAAAAAATTTTTTTAACCCCCTTTAAAAGGTAAAAATTTTAAATTTTTATTTTCAAAAATTTTTGACCCTTTTAAATTTTGGGGGTTTAAGAAAGCAATGCCTTTACCTCATTTTTATCAGGGTTATAGTCATTTCCCGGGTAAACAAAGGGGGAAAATCCAAACTTAGGGATTTTGGTTTGGGGGAAATATTGGGGTTTAAACATGTTAGAGATCAAAAAACAAAAAACCCCCAAACTTTTATCTGAAAAATCATGTCAGACTATTTTTGTCCGGGCAATGGTACTGTAACGTGAAATTTAGGGGGAATTTTTTATACCCCCCTTGTCGAGCCTCAAGGGTGTAAGTGTCAATACGATTCAGATTAAACAAACTAGTTTGTTTTGTTAGAGGAAAAACCTAACTGAACTGTGGGGCCAATTTTTAAGGTCTCTAGATTAAAAGATTTTGAAAATCTGTACGTAAAAATGTTCAAAAAGTGTCCGGTTGATGGTCCCCGACCAGTAGTCATAAGAAAAAAGTCCTAAGACAAAATGGCACTTATGGGCTTCCATATTCCATGTAACAGTTAAACAGTATAAAAATAAATCCAAATAATGTACTACTTTCTTACATCCACTACCCAAAACAAGCCCCTGTAACATTACATTGCATATTATTTGCCTTTAACGAGGTATATTTAGAAAGGTTCGGGACAATATTGACGTACGAAATATCTATACATTAAATCCTTATTTCATCACGCAATAAACCTACGATTACGTTTTATAAAGACAGACGCTGTTATGGTTTATGTGTCTGGTTTATTCAGAGATAAATATGGACATAGATAATACGTTTAAGAAGATAATAACAGGGATGTTTTTCTATGTTTACCTGTTCACGTGTAAATTATGTCGTCACACCGCTTGATACTAAACCGACACCATACCTTATGAATTGAGGCGCCATGCGCAATAAGAAAAATAAGTTTGGTAAAAATACGTGTTTATTATATACTTCTAAAATGAAATATTGATGAAAAAAAAAAATATAGAAAAATTTGAATATCCTCTATATTTCCAAAATAATTCCTTTACCAGATATTTTGGCAATATCCCGGTTTAGACCCCGGAGGGGTTTGTGTCTTAGACAGTCTCATTCTTTCCGCAAATACATAAAACTTATATTGTATCATGATTAAAAAGTAATTAAAATGACGCATTCAATCCGTAAATACAGACGATATTTTAAAACATGTAAAACGTGGACGCCCCGCTGTCACACAAGGATTCGTGCACGGGCATGTGCTGGGACCGAGAGACATGTGCACACTGTGCTGATGTCAGCAAGATGCTTTTTTAGTAAGAAACATCAAATACGCTTAAACATACATCTAATGGGAGCAAGCATCATTGAAAATAGACTTATGAAAACTACAGAATATTGTCTATAAACTCATAAAAAAGATATACTGCAGTAGGCGCATTAACTTATTCTACCTGAAAGCAATATATGCCTAATATAAACGTTTCTTTATATTCACAAGACAAAGCAATGCCATTGTTTTACATTCAAAATAGCAGAAGCATTAAAGATATGATCGGCATTGTATTTTCGATCTCTGGTTTAATTATGAAATATAGTCATTTTGAAATGGAGCATGTACGGCGTCAAATTGAAGAAATTTATTACGTATCCTAAGAATGATGAGAAAGAAAAGTTTATACTTAAATATCACGTTGCAATAAAAGGATTCACATTAATTAATCAATCTACTTGATGCATTTATATGCTTGACAATGAACATACTGAGCAGCTTAGCTATAGTTATATTTGTACTTATAAAATGTAAAATCTTGAATGAATTCAATGAGAATGTGTGTTTTGACCTCTTGCCATTCTTCCCAACGTAATTTAATCGGATACAATATTACAGATAGCGTTACAGTTTATTTGGAAACTACTCGTATATGCGCATATATGTATCTAACTGCAGGCTTCCAAATAACATTCACAATAAGCCACCAACCATAATACGAGGAGTACATATTAGATCTCATCAACAAGGCGTATCCGAGCTGGTCATGTGCAGCAGTACACACTGTCGCAGCTGGTTTGGTGATAATAATTACTGCTTTTTTTGTTTGTTTTCGTATTTTTCTAAAAAATAAATATTGAACGGTATTATGACAATATATGATTTTATTTTTCCACTGAACAGATCAATTTTGCTATGGTATCATTCTTTTGTTATAGTTCTTCAATATTACAAATAGATTTTCCTAAATGGATTTTAATGAATAAGCCAAGCAGATGTGAATCAATAATGTTATATACCATGTTTTTTAATTACAAAGTAGCACTATCGTGCCATTTTCTTTCCTTTTTTAAAAAAGGGAAAATTAGGTGCATTTTCTAAAAAAAAAAATGGTCCAGTGCATGATGACAGATCGTGTCGAGATTATGGTGCGCAATGATATATATATTTTTTGAAAAATGTGTCAAAAGTACGTCTGGAACGTGAAATTTATCAACACGTATCTGATAACCCAGAGTAATTAAATAAAAGTTGATATTCTCACATATATGTTTCAGACTTTGTTAGTTAATATGGGTCTGCGAAGTGACTGGTGGATACATGTTCTTAAAACATATCAGACATTAATTGGTGTTTTTTTAACGCAAATGGGAGACAAAAAGAACTTGTGTTTTTGTCACTTAGAATCTGCATGTTTCTTGTATAGTCGACTGATATAAATGATAAACTGAGCATAAACTGCTAAATGCAATTACATTAATATGTTTATGTTTTATGAATAAAATCAGAAAACGGAAGTTGAATATACATGTACTGACGATATATATGTACAAGATGTAGTAGTACGTCCGTCCGTCCGTACATCCTTAAATATCATCAGATCATTGTACGGTATCAATCTTATATAGTTCATGTAATAATATTTCATATTCTATTTATAGGTTCTATAAGTTCATATTTTATATAAAAATAAAATAAAAAACTTTGTTCTTCGTCATATAAAACTGATACGATTTTGAAGCAAAACTTTAAAAGGTTTATATCTAATGTATTATGTAAAGAAGACTATATGTTATTTAAGAAGAAAAAAGAAGCTAAAATTAAAATGATATACTGTCTACGGTAAATACTTTATAATACGAAATATTGTTTTTTCGAAAGAAAAGAAAACTGTTAAAAACTATTTTTATAACCAAATAATTTTTAACCTCATTATGAGACTGCGATTTTTTGCAGATAGCCTCAAAGATTGTTCTATTTTGGTATCCCAAAATTATTGTTGATTATCAGATGAAATCAGATCTAATTTCCGAAAGTTTTACGTAGATATGCTCTATAATTCTATTGGACAACATTTTACAATACTTTGGAATCCTGTATCTCAAAATATTATTACGAAACTATTATATTCCAATAACAAGCGGGCCAACCGCTTTTGTTTTAAGTTTAATGCGATTTTAAAATAAACATTTTCTATTACATAAACTAATACGGTAACTAAATCAACACACAAACAAACCTTCTACTGTAGCCTGGATATATGTTGCTAACATATATTGTTTTATATGAAAATAAACAAACAAATTTCAAATGTAAACCGCAGCCTTCAACTAAAATACTATACAAATACATTGTGTAAATGATTTAGTTTAGTTTATACGAATTTATTTTAGTTAGATTGTGTTGGAAGCTGTGCTTATTGAAACACTCGAATCCGTTCCTGGAACTAACCAGTACAATGAGTATAAAATTTCTTGCTCAAGTTAACAACGTCTTGCCCCTGACGGCGTATGAATCCACATGACCAGCAATCCTTAGATTACTAGTCCGATTGTTAACCACTCGGGCATTCGCCACACAAATAAAAAAAAAATGCTCTATTTGACTTCCAAATGAACAAGAATACATCTTTACATAAAACTATATAGTACATACATTGTATAACGCTATTTGGGCATATCACCAGGCAAAGTGGTCTTGTAAATTTTCAGTACAACATGGTGAGAATTTCCACCTATCTACTTTAGTCATCCGTACGTCACGGTCTTACCATATCTAGTTCGTTTTAAAAACTTTTTTTTGTATCCAAGCATTATAAGTTTTCCCTTAGGCAAGCACAATAAGGAAAGTAGAGAAGTTTCCAGAATCGGAGTTCAGTACTTTATATTATTTTTGAGGCACTTGATAGTAAGTTTTTCCTTCTTTGGACAGGGCAGACATGAGTTTTATAATGTTTAAATAACGGGTTTAGAGCATACTACATTGTTAGCACATGTGGAAAGAAGTAGTGAATATAAAATTGAATGTATTTTTTTTGTCCTAAAAATAACAAAATGTAAACAAATTAGTATTTTGACTTCCATATACAATACTAACTCTAAATAACTCATCGTCTGATACCCACGATTGATAAACATGTCACATAACATGCAATCGAATGTTAATGGTTCGGCCGTGGGTATCCGACGATGTATATAACTTTGCTTAAAAGCAACAGAAGCGAAAAATGGCCCTGTTAATGGCTACATTTTTTATTTCTAAAACAGTCATAAACCATTAAAAACGAAACTGAAAAAGCTTCAGAAGAACGTATAAAGACCTACTTATAGAAACTACATGTATTTTCATCGAAGGGAAATAGAAACATGTACAAATGTACTACTACAGTCTAAAAAGTTTTTTTAACATAATGAAACAAGCCCTTTTTTACCTTTAAATTACACATTTTATGAAATTTACCTATTAGATTTCGAAAAAATAATGACATGGGAATCTTAATTAAGAACCATGCCGGTAATTTCATGCTTTTAGGGAAAGGTATAAAGAGACGTTTGCTATGGGTCGAAATCGCCCACTGGCAAGAAAAATTCTGACAAACCCAGGACAATTATGGCAACAGGTAATTTATAAACTCTTTTAATCAGAATTACTTTGATAATTTAATTAATGTACTACATTTATATCATATATACACTGGAAAATGATTCAATATGTAAGAAAGAAATTGACGAAGAAGCCGTTTTAATTATGAACTATTTTAAAACAAAATAAGCCGCGGAAGACTATTTTCGAGAAAAGACGAAAAAAAGAAAGAATAAAAATAAAATAAATGAAAAATAATTAATAAATGACATTAATATTTTAACAGTAATTTTTGTGGGTATCTTACTTTTACCCTTGCGATTTTATTGGTAGCGTCATTGGTATCAACCTTTAAGGCAGTTAAAAATACAAGCTTAGCTTTAGCGCGTAATTTATATTCTATATTGTAGCACTATATCAAAAAACATTTGCATGTATATGATAGTAATCTAAGTTCGTTCCTAATGCTCCCATTATCGGTTCACTAATTTTCTTTCCTTTCTTCTCAATATGGTTTTACTTTGGTTTTAATCCGGGTTAATAGTTCAGTTTGTTTTAATTTTGCTTATGATTTTATATGCAACTTTTAACACATGCAATTCTGAAATACGTTTATGTTGACACTATTGAAGTACAATTGCATTTTGATTTTCACATTCCTAGATTTAAAACTTGGGGCGAAGTAACTATAATTTCTTTCACATTTTCGTTTCATCTTTATCTGCGCCATTTTGTGTCATATCTCATATGTTCACATGTTATAATTATGGCAATTATGTTTGAATAAATATGGTTTTGAAACCATAAGTTATATAAAGTTAAAACTTTGATTGACTGTAAATTCTACGAAAGAGACGAACTGAATTCAAATATTAAAAAAAATTTTTTCTACACAATGTAAATGCGAACTATTTTTATTAAAAATTTCAGCGGAAGCAATACAGGAGGTTTTTCGCGCCACATATTATCAGAAGCATACATGAGGAAGTTAGACTACCCCAGGCCTGACCCCAACGGAAACGAGGGCGTGGTTAAACTGTATGGCGATCACTTTGGGTTTACCGAAGGTTACAACATAATAATTTTCTTTCTATTGA